ACGGACGACGGACGACGGACGACGGACGACGGACGACGACGGACGAAAACGGATAGCAATAGGTCACTTGAGCTAAAGCTCAGGTGACCTAAAAAATACTGCTTTGTTATCTTAGAATCTTGACAAATAATACAGATTGCAAAGTAACATGGTCTTTAATAATCCATTTACCTTGACAAACTTCTTCATTGAATCTGGCAATATGACTTGGTCCTGTGGTTCTCCGACACTTTTGCTGCCCTGTTTATACAGTCCATACCGAAACCCTACTGTATTGTCTGCAATTCAATACACACATGTTCTCATTCACCTACAGGTATACATGTCTTGAGATATAGTGAACGCTTTGCATTTTTCATGAGGAAAGTCAACAGTGCATTGTGGACTCGAACATCTTGGTCCTATTTTTATGTGTAATGTTAACATACCAGATAATCAGATACCATTATATTTTGAAATAAATTCAACAGAAATTCATGAATGGTTTCTGATGAAGTTCATCGTTTCACTAGAAAAAGTACAATAGAAATAACAACCTTATAATTAATTTGTTCACGCAAAAATTGCTATTTCACCATCTGGTAATAAACAATCAAAAAATCTACAAATAATAACATTTTATTTGTTGTTTTAATTGTAAATTTAAGGTTTGAAATACATTTCTTTAACATTTCTGATGGTATGCAACGCAGTTCTATTAAAACATCTGTGTTTATCATGAGGGAGACTCACTATGTATACACAGAGTATGCCTGGTACAGACCTTGTCCGTTGATGTCTTTCCCCACAGTAAATTCACACTTGTTTCTATAGTCTTCTAACACAGGCTAAAAAAGCGGGAAAAAAAATGGCATCAGATTGTTTATCTCAAAGGCAAGACCACTTCTAGTACCTTATATGTGTGTAAGATTTGCTTAGTAAAACTTAGCAAGGAACCATACAGTCTTAACTGATGAATGTACAGAGTTTAATACAAGAACAACGTGTTTACATCAGGATTTTTATCCAAATTATTCATATAATTTATTAACATACAAGGAATCATTGCATTTTACTGATAAAATAGATATTGACATCTGCAGTTTAATCAGAACTTCAAACTAATTTAATAATGAATCAAGGCTTTATATACGTGACTAACACTTTCAAAGAACACTCCCACACTTTTGTTAGTGTTATTCCATGTAAACGTAAACAGGTAGTTATAAAATCAAGTGACTCTGCCAAAAAGTTGTCACTGGGTAATTACATTTTTTTTTTTAAAGTTCAGTTATCTACTAAGTAATACATACTGAAGGTTTAATGGGGAGCATCTCACAGCATTTACCGTCATATTTTGACCTGGAAGAAACATTCAAATACATATTAATGATACACCATTATCTAAGAAGAGTTGCCAGAAAAACAGCATAGCTCATTTATTTGAAAGATATTCGAAAATAGTTCAATCTAAACCAATCAGTTTTTCTTTTTCTGTTTGGCCAGCACTGCTTCAATGTAGTCGAAACCTTCATGTCAAATATTAGCATCTTTGTAGAAAATAGTGACGGTTAGAGAAAGGAATGTCAACACTTACAGAAAAGCTGAGGACATGGAGATTTTGGCAAAAATAATTGAGGCCAATTAAAACAACAAAAAACAGCCTAACTGATGCTCTTCAAAATGGTCACAGAGACCTGAATAAAGTGTGTGACACACCGCCTTGCTATCCTACATATAAGTGTGTGACACACCGCCTTGCTATCCTACATATAAGTGTGTGACACACCGCCTTGCTATCCTACATATAAGTGTGTGACACACCGCCTTGCTATCCTACATATAAGTGTGTGACACACCGCCTTGCTATCCTACATATAAGTGTGTGACACACCGCCTTGCTATCCTACATATAAGTGTGTGACACA